ATGTGGAATGCCAAGCATTGTGGCCACGGTCGCCGGGCAACAGCCTGCCACTCACCGCATAGTGTCTTCGGATGCTGCGTCTTCAAAGTCAAAATGTATGTATGTACGTATGTATGTATGTATGTATGTATGTATGTATGTATGCGTGTAAATGTGCAGATGTATATACACACATGCATGCATATACATATATATGTATATACATACATATATACATATACGAGTAACATGTGTATGTATCATTGCCATGATAATCCAAGCTAGATTCCTTAACACAAACTACTTTTCGGCTGGGGGCTTTCAGGTCCTCGTACAGCGTTTGGGGATTGCACGGTTTTGGGGGGTGAGGGTTGTGGGTTTCGGGCTCAATCTTTTGGCGTTTTTTTGTTAGGGCGAGAAACTCTAAACCACTAAACCCTAGGCCCATTTGGGACCTAGAATGCTACGGCAAGTTCCTAAATCTCTTGGACCCCAAGGCCGAAACAAAAAAGACAACTAAACCCTCAAGACAATCCGAAACCCTAAGAGGCCGACATGTCCAGGATTCCTTAATCTGATTTTTTGGGGGGGGGCTTCCTGATCATGAGTTCCGTAAATGAACCCTTAAGAAGATAGGTTATTTTAGGGTCCAGGATGTACCTGAAGACCCTAACCCTAAACTCTAAACCCCGAAGGCCCTAAACCCCCTAAACCCAAAGCCCCCAAACCCTAAACTCAAAGGCCCTAAGGCCCTAAACCCCTAAACCCCTACGCCCCTAAACCCTAAACTCCAAAACCGAGGAGCCAAGCCCCTAAACCCTAAAACCCTTACCCCTAAACCTAAAGCCCTAAACCTCTAAACCCCAAAACCCCAAAACCGAGGAGCCAAGCGGAAACGCCGCTGCAAAGGCCGTTAAGCCGCGTACCGACTCGAGAAAGCCGATAAACTCCTTTGGGGTTAAGGGTTTGCGGGTTTAGGGTTTAGGGGTTTAGGGGTTTAGGGGCTCAGGGGTTCAGGGTTTAGGGTTTAGGGTTTAAGGGTTTAGGGTTTAGGGATTAGGGCTTAGGTAGGCTTATTTGGGGTTAAGGTGGGATTCAAGGTGTACAGGGCGTAGAGGCTCGTTCTGCACGACTTCGGGGCACGTGGCCCACAGGTCCAATAGCAGAGACTTATACCACAAACCCACTTAGAGCGCAGCATTTGGGGTTGTAGGGTTTTTAGAGTTTTCCCGATGGGCGCCATAGTAGTTCCTTTTTGGGGCTCCCTAATAGGATCCTGAATATAAGCCACAAAAAGGAACTACTATGGGCAGCACTTGGGGTTGTAGGGTTTTTAGGGTTTACCCATAGGCCCCATAGTAGTTCCTTTTTGTGGCTTATATTTAGGATCCTTTTAGGGAATTTCCAAAAAGGAGCTACTCTGGGGCCTATGGCCTATGGGTTATTTCAAGCTCAACACGCCAACTCGATTTAGAAGCTCATGCGCAGGATCTGCTACGGCTGCTACGTCCATACTTCTGTTTTCGTAATTAAACCCTCGCTGCCCTGACTCCTTCGCTACAAGTTGCGGGCTGTATCTCTAAGGACCCCACACAGTACCTTCGCGGCCGAAGTGCGTACCTTTTGAGTTCTTGGAACCAAAACCACACCCAAAACAGAACATGAAAAGAAGAACGTGGAGTCTCTGGGAAACTCTACACCCCAAACCTTTGGACCCCTAAAAGCCCGGAAACCTCATCCCTCAGACCCCAAACCCTTGCGATTTCAACCCTGAAGGCCCGAAAGTCCCACCCTAAACCCTAAACCCTTACATCATAGGAACCCTTAACCTTCGGGGGGTAGGAGGTTAGGGGGGAGGGGGGGAAGGGGACTATACTTCCTTAAATAGGCCCCAAACCCCCCTCCCTCCGAACCTTCCTCAGGGTTTCTATGATTACACCAGAATCAGTTTTGGTTTTGGCAGTTTCGTGGTGGTCTGGCTCTAGAGCTGCACGGCTTTTAGCTTTATAGTTTTAAACAGTAGAATTGCTCGCTTGCTTTTCGGTGGTCGTTACATCGGATTTGCAAAGTTTTACATGGTTTAGTGGGCGTCCAGGCTTAGGGCCTAGAGGCTTAAACGGGTTTAGGGTTTAGGGTTTAGGGTTTAGGGTTCAAAGGTTTGATGAAGCTTTAAAGGGGCCTCAATCATTAGAACAGGTTGGGGGGTATTTCCTGGTTGCGCTTTGTATGAACTCGATGGGGTTCCGGTGTACATCATCATAGAAGGATGCAAGAAGAGGTCACTACCCATTGTTCATGTTGTCATATGAACGCATTCAACAATTGATTGGCAAAAAAAGCACACTAAACCCTAAATCCTAAACCCTCAGCGTTGCTCATGACCTGAACCCTCGACTCGCCACATCCTTAAATCCCTAACCTGCTAAGGTTGTAGGGTTTCAACCCTGCAGCTGCAACCCTAAACCCTAAACCCTAAACCCTAAACCCTAAACCCCAAATCCCACCAACATCGGTCAAAGGCCTTTGGAAGGCTTGGGATTTTAGTTTCGTTTGGGCCGGGGCGGGCCGGATTCTAATAACTACTGTTGATGATATCAATCCTGCATTACCTCATGGACCCTAAGGTGTGGGAATTATGGTATGTTCCTTATTATGGGTAATGCAGGATTCATATCATCAACCGTAGAACTAACTTTTAACTGATGCGCTTTCTTGTTGAAGGATCCCAAGCCTGTCCAGACAAGGACTACAGACCTAAACCCGTACATGTCGAAGTAGGTTCCTAAGTCCACCGGTACCAATCCTAGGGGCCTTAATAATCAGAAAATATAAAATTAAAATAAGGACCCCAACCAAAAAAGTAGTATTGGAAACTGTTTCGGCCCATAAACCCTAAACCCTAAACCCCATAGGCCGAAACCCCTAAACCCTAAACCCAAAGCCCTGAACCCCTAAACCCTAAACCCCAAAGCCCTGAACCTGTAGACCCTAAACAGTGGCACCGCTACCCTCAAGTCGAGCTGCGTTCGGATGCGCGTAGCCTGTGCTCTGGGCCACATCTGCCACATAGACCTCAGCTCACGGAAGGTCCCTTTAAGGCTTAGTTTAGGGTTTAGAGGGTTTAGGGTTTAGGGTTTAGGGTTTAGGGTTTAGGGGTTTAGGGGTTTAGGGTTTAGGGTTTAGGGTTTAGGGTTTAGGGAGGGTCTAGGCTTCCTATTTAAGGGTGCCTAGAAGGTTCCTTGAAGGGATCTGTATCAGGGTTGCTTGGGGTTTGGGGTAGAAGGGTTCCTGTAAAGGATTTCCTTCAAGGGCGCCCGTAAGTTTCTTTAAGGGCTTCCTTTAACGAAGGGTTTCTATAAGGGCTTCCTAAGCGGTCCTTTCAGGGCTTTCTTTCTGAGGACTTCTATAAGGGTTTCTGTAAGGGTTCCTTTACGGGTTCCTTTATGGATTTGTAAGTGCAGAAAAGCTCGAACCAGGGGGTGTAGGCTTGGGTTAGGGGTTTGGCTTGGGTTTAGGTTTTGGGGTTGTGGGATTCAGGGTTTCAGGGTTTCAGGTTGTTTGAAAGGAACCAACAGGGGCGAAGTGGTAGAGTTGAGGGGGTTCAGGGCTCATGTCAGGGACTTCAGAATGCTGTACGTCCTCTGTTGGGGGTCCCATCCCTAAACCCTAAACCCTAAACCCTAAACCCTACACCCTAATCCCCAAACCCTAAACCCTAAACCCTAAACCCTAATCCCTAAACCGTAAACCCTAAACCCTAAACCCTAAACCCTAAACCCTAA